TAAGTTCCACGTACCATGTTTAATGGATGTCAGTTATCAGTTATCTCCTGTTAATTTCCCTCTGAAAGTTCTCCACTGCCTTCACCGGGTATTGAACTCACACTCTTTGGGTCTTGTCACTGGATCTAACTAACGCCTTTATCCACTGTGCATTCATACACACATGTCCTTGAGGACATCTGTGTATGAATTTCTGGGTATTATAAACCTAATGTCTTCAGCAACCATTTTTTACTAGTGCTCATATTGCAATTTTGTTGTTACTGATAACTGACATCCATTAAACATGGCACATGGAACTAGAACAGTCTACCCAAGTGAGCGAAATAAAGGGTTCAGTTCGACATTCCAACCACCTGAAGAAGGCCGGAGTGTACAACAGCCAAAATGAGGACAATAGTTCAAATAATGTACATAATATCTCATCTCAGAAATATAGACAGATATAATTTTTAATGGATACTCATGTTTGAGTAGACACTCCATTTATTTATTTATTAACCCGTATATTTATTTATTTTTGTCTATCAGCCTGAATATTTGAGAAATTTTTTTAATCATTTCGCCCCAGGCAGTGTAGGCATGCCACTAGTATGCAGTGGCTTACATGGAGTGAAAGTGAGAGAAAAAACTGAGTATAGGGAGGATTGAGGAAAGGATAAAAGATAAATGGAATTCAAGAAGATAGAAGATGGTGTTGTATTTAAATTTTTGAAGACTGTAGTTATCAGGGAAGCAAGTAAACGAAAGGGAGTTCCACAGACAAGAAGTGTGAGAAAAGAAACCGTTGGAGTAGAAGTGGCAGTTGCATTTAGCTATTTCAAATGTAAATAGGTGGTACCTAGATGCTAACACACTTAAATTCATGTAATTAGGGCACCAAGGAAAAAAGATTGTCAGAGGAATTGTCATGAAAATATTTGTAGAAAAGACAGAGGGAAGCCATGTCGCATCAGTGAGAAAATGACTCAAGTGAAGATGCCTATTCAGGATCAATTATATTATAGATCTTTCTTTGGATTTTACCAAGAACTTCTAGATTAATAGCAGGAGCACCAGGCAAGAAATCTGAGTAAACTTTGAATTAGAAAGTCACAATTGTAAATGTATAAGAAAATTTAGAGAACTTTTATTTTGTCAATTTTCCAATAATGTTGATTGATCAGTAAAACATATAAAAATAAGTTTTCAAAATTGTCTTATCTATTTACCATTCTGTCTTTTCCATCCATACTTTACTTATATGCACATACATGATTATATATGTATAAGTAAATGTAGGTGTGAGGTGGCACAATAGTTAAAAACATGGAAAATGGATTTTACAAACCAAGTTCAAATTTCAGATCAAATTTCACTTCACAATGCTTTTAATAAATTAATTTTCCCCATCTCTAGATACCTTGACTAAAAATGTTTTTGTCATAGCCAACAGAAAAATATGTTGATGAATTAATATTTAGGCAAACCACTCTCCGATAATTAACTTAGTAAGTAATAGCAACAATACAAAACTGTTATACCCTTGACCAATCATCAACATCAAGAGAGAGAAAGAGAAATAAATATAAGTATAAAATTAAGAATAGATCACAGTTGTATCTCATAATACACCAATATACTACTTACCAGCCCTGAGGCCATATTTGTTCCCTTCATCCCACCTTTCACCTGTCAATTTGGTATTAGAATCTAATCAGCAAATGATCAGAACATATTTAAAGGATGTTGAATCCAAACACCACCTCGAAGACACCTCATCAACAACCATGGAAAACAGATTCTATTCAATAAAGTAATTAAGGTTAACATTGTATCAAGTCTACAGAAAGCTACACAAAATCCTCTCAGTATTCAAGTAACATGGATTAGTATCATGTTTTTCTGTCAGGTCATCTAAAAGTTTGGAATGAGATTAGAAGGAAAAAATTCGTTCTGTGAGTAATTTCTTCTTTTTTTTGTGTGTGTGTGGGGGGGGGTCATCTTTGTTTTCTTCTTTCAGATTTTGATTTTCGATAGACTACTTTAAAAGAAAGTTTTGTTGCAGACATTGCATTAGGCTGAACCTTGCTTTACAAATGAGAGAGGCAGGCAAGATAGAAGACCACCTTGGTTAATTTCTCCATTACATGATGGAATTGGTGCTTACAACTGTTGGACAAAGTCTTTAGGGTAAAGAAGAGTGGAGACAAGGAGAAAGGGGAGTTGAAGAGCAAGGAAGAGACAGAGACAGAGAGAAGAAATAGGGAGAAAAAAAGAAAGAAAGAAAGAAAGAAAGAAAGAAAGAAAGAAAGAAAATAATAAAGAAAAAAATGAAAATAGTAAAGAAAAGAAATAAAGAAAATAGGAAAGAAAGTAAGAAAATAGTAAGAAAAATAAAGAAAAAAGAAAAAAATGAAAAAATAGTAAAGAGAAAAGAAAGAAAAATAGTAATGAAAAAGAAAAAGAAAGAAAGAAAAATAGTAATAGAAAAGAATGAAAAATACAAAGTAAGAAAAAAGAAAATGAAAATAAAAAGAAAAATAGAAATGGGAAAGATAAAAGAAAGAATGAAAAAAGAAAGAAAAAAGAAAAGCATAAAAGAAAATGGGAGAAAAGAAGAAGAAAGGAAAAATATTCATAATTTATATAATTACAAAAATGAAAGATAAAAGAAAAAAATGAAAGAAAATGAAAAATAAGAAGAAAGGAAAAAAGAATGAAAAATATTACAAAAAATGATGAAGAATATGAATGGAAAAGAAAGAAAAACAAAAAATTTAAATTACAAAAAAAAAGATACCAAAGGTGGAAAAAATGATGATGAAGAATATGAATGAAAAGATGGCAGAAGAAAGGAAAAATATTCATGGGGAAGGAAATTTATATAATTACAAAAAATGAAAGATACCAAAGGTGGAAAAAATGATGATGAAGAATATGAATGAAAAGATGGCAGAAGAAAGGAAAAATATTCATGGGGAAGGAAATTTATATAATTACAAAAAATGAAAAAAAAAATGATGAAAGGAAAAATATTCAAATTTATATAAAAAAAATGAAAGAAATAAAAATGATGGGAGAAAAGATGGAAAAGAAGAAAGGAAAAATATTCATGGGGAATAATTACAAAAATTTATATAATTGGCAGAAGAAAGGAAAAATATTCAAAATGAAAAGATACCAAAAATGGAAAAAATGATGATGAAGAAATGAATGAAAAGATGGCAGAAGAAAGGAAAAATATTCATGGGGAAAATTTAAATAATTACAAAAAGAAAAACAAAATTGGAAAAAATGATGATGAAGAATATGAATGAAAAGAAAAAGTAAAATAAGAAAAGAAATTTAGATAATTACAAAATTAAAAGGTGGAAAAAAAAATAAAGAAATGAATGAAAAGATGGCAGAAGAAAGGAAAAATATTCATGGGGAAGGAAATTTATATAATTACAAAAAATGAAAAATATGAAAAAAATGAATGAATAATAATTACAAAAAACAAGAAAAAATGAAGAAGAATATGAATGAAAAATCTAGAAGAAAGGAAAAATTCATAAAGGAAATTTATAAAAACAAAAAAAAATTGGAAAAAATGATGGAAGAATGAATGAAAAATGGCAGAAGAAAGAAAAAATATTCATGGGAAGGAAATTTAATAATTACAAAAATGAAAAAGATACCAAAAGGTGAAAAAATGATGATGAAAAATATGATTTCTGAAGAAATTCGTCTTTTATGTCTCACAAAATGAAAGATACCAAAGGTGGAAAAAATGATAAATGAAGAAATGAATGAAAATTCTAAAGAAAAAAAAAACAAAAGATGAGGAATAGAAAAAGAAAAAAAGAAAAAAATAAGGAAATAAAATTAGCTAAAATAAGAAATAGAAATATAAAATGAATGGAATCTCAAAACCTTATAATTGTCAGAAATGCTAAAGGGTAAAAAAACAAAAAAAAAATTAATCAGGAAGATGATAGCAAAACCTCCATATCCAGATCATTCGTTTTTCTCAGCAAAATGCAAGCAATTAAAAGAACCATAGAAAAAAAAATTAAAAGAGAAAACATATCTTCCTATTCAATGGAATCTCAAATCCAGATACCCCAATCCTAAAACTTGGCCAAAGAAACATATCTTCCTATTTCGCCAAAGCAGATACAATCTAAAACTTGGCCAAAGTTTCAATTTTTGGGTCCCTGTAACAAGTCAAAGGATCTTGTGATGGCAGTTTTACAAAGACTATCAACACTTGGAGACACAAGGAGGTGTTGGTCAGCAGTTGAGGGTGGGAAAATCAGGCAAAGGGCCAGAAATGGAAATATCCATATTCTGTAATTGCTGTCTGCAGCTTGTAGGTCTAAAATGGCCTCTTGTTTGTTGTCCCTACAAGTAGAATTGTGGGTCCTGTTTAGTAATTAATATAGCAGTTCCAGGGTTTCTGAGAATGGTCCCTGGTGGTGGAATCTGCTCAAAGACAAGGAATAATCAATCAGAAGTGCTTCTTTAACATTTAAGATGAGATTAGCTAGAAGAAAAAGTAAAAAAAAAAATGGAAGATTAGAAAAAAGTAAAAAAAAAAAGAATACTCAGGTGAAGAAAGAAGAGGGAGAAGAGGTGGTGGTTACAGTAGTAGCAAGAAGAAAAAGAAGATGAACAAGGAGGAGGGGAGATAAAGTAAAAGAAGAAGAGAGGAAATAAAGGAAGAAGAAAATAAAGAATAAATTAAAGAAATAGAAGAAGAAGAAGAAATAAAATATAAGAATAGTATAGTAAAGGATGAAAAGGAATAAGAAGAAAGTAAAAGAAGAAGAAAAAGAAGAGATTAAGTAAAAGAAAATGTAAAAGAAGATAACAGAAGAAAAAGAAGAAGAAGAAGAAGAAGAAGAAGAAGAAGAAGAAGAAGAAGAAGAATAAAAGAAGAAGAATAAAAGATGAAGTAGAAGTCTTCTTTTATACTTTGTGTCTTCTGGATGTAAGTGATCATGGCCCTCAACATCTTCCTGTCCCTTATAGCTCTAAGTTTTGTCTTCAAGAAGAAAAAGAAGAAAAAATGATGACGAGATAGAAGAACAGAAGAAAAACAAGAGATAAAGTAAAAGAAGAAGAGAGGAAATAAAGGAAGAAGAAAATAAAGAATAAATTAAAGAAAAAGAAGAAGAAAAAATAAAGTAAAGGAATAAGAAAATGCAAAAAAGTAGATGATGATCATCATCATAATGTTGATGATGATTGAAAAAGAAAAAGTAAAAGAAGAAAAAGAAGAAAGAAGAGAGAAGGAGGAGGGGAGATGAAGTAAAAGAAGAAGAAACTAGAAAATAAAATAATAAAGAAGGGAAGTAAAAGCTGAAGGAGAAAAATATTTAAAATATGCCCAAAATGAAAAAAAAGTGAAAGAAAAGAAAGAAGGAAAATAACAAAAAAATGTGAAAAGAAAAGAAAGTGAAAAAAATCACACAAAAAAAGCATAAACTTAGAAAGGAAAAGAAGATTGGGTAGAATATGAAAACTAAAAGAAATTGAAGAAAGAATGGTGCAAAGAAAGGAGTAAAAGAAAAGAAGTAAAAAGCAAAGAATATGAAGAAACAAAAGGAAGAATTAAATGAATGATAATGAAGAAAAATGAAGAAAAAAAGAGAAAAAATGAATATATAAAAAGATACAAAAGAAGAAAGAAAGGATGATGGAAATGAAGCTTTATTTGAGGAATAAAAGAGGACTGAAAAAAAATGAAAGAAAAAAATGTGGAAAGAAAAGAAAACTATTTGCTGAATGGAATAAAATAAAGAAAAGGTAACTAGAAAAAAAATAAGCAGATAAAAGAATAATCCTCAGAAGAAGTAAAGTGATGAAAAATTTGAAGGAAAAAAATTAGGAAGAAAAAAGAATAGACAGAGAAGAATGCAAAAAAAAAATGGAAAAATAAAAAAAAGAAGCAAATATATTAAATTTAAGATAAAACTACTATAGAATGAAGAGATGGGTAATGTGAGTTTGCCATTTTTACAAGTGGAATTATTTCTAGATAACTTTGTTTACTTGTTGCCGAGAATCAACGCTGCTAAAAGTGGTTCAGTGTTTGATGTATACCAGCCAGCACACACAGATCTGAAACTCATTTTGGGTCCTTCAAAAGAAAAGAATTTATTTTCAACACTAATGAAATTTTATAGGAAATTCTCCCAATGTGATATTAAAAAATCACTCGGACTTAATAGGAAAAAAATAGGATAAAATAAAATATCTTCCTTCAGGAACAAGGTGGCACAATGGTTACCTGTACATGAAACAAAATCAGCAGACTGAGTTCAAATTTCAGCTGGAGCTGCTTGCATTCATTTTATCCTAAGGCATGAAACCATTTTCTCTGCCTTCTTTTCAGTCCTAGATATCTTAAGATATTTTGCTACAGGCATACTATGGTAGTTACTAGAGAAAAGAACATTTTGGTAAATCACTCTTCACAACTTCCCTGTTTTATGGCAGATAAAACCCCCACCTTCAGTCAGGATCAGAGTGTCATTGAGAACTTTATGACCCTTTTGTTGGTTGCATAGTATGTGCTTATCCAGGGTTACATACAGTTTTGAATTCTTTCTTCCGTTAGACTGGCTGCCAACCATGGCTAAAGAGCTCAGTCTGCACTACTATTTAACCCATAACTGGGAATATCTCATATTGGCCTCATCAACCATTTACATTTAATATTACATTATTATAAAGTTAGGCTAAATACAAATACTGGTAATGGTAATGGTAATACAGCTGTTTCCTTATAAGGAAACATTTGAGCAGCCTTTTGCTTTTGGTTGAAATTTATAAAATCTTTCTCCTTTCTCTTAAAACATTTTTTCAGGAAAATAAGTTTCTCAAGTACAGTAGCTTTTATTGCTCTTTCCAGTATTGACTGGGGTTTGCTTCTCTATTATGCAGATTAAACAAATATTAGCTTAAGACTTTTGAAACCTAATAAAAAATATTTTTTCTTTTTGTTGAAGGATCTAACAACTGCTGAAAAACAGAAAATAGCAAAGTTCGGAAATGTCAACATTGAAGATATCAAATGAGCTTTGCAGAGATCATCAAACAATAAAGAAGGCTGTTGAAAATATAAGTAAGTTGAGAATTTGCTTATTATCTTATTTATTTACTATTTATTACATATTATGGCTTATTACTGATTGTTTTTATAAATATTTTTATTTTTATATATTTTATAGGTTTTTATGGTTTTTAAAAGTTTTTATTAGTTACTAGCAGTAGAGCCCGGCGTTGCCCGGGGATGTAACAGTAAGAGATAGATCAAGTATCGACCATCATAAAGACTGAAAAATAAAATTGACAAAGATTATTGTTTAAGGTTGACGGACATGCATGGCTTAATTATTTTTTTTGTTTTGTTTTTTTGTTTTTTTTTATGAATTGGTCAAACCCAAACTCAAACAAAAACATTGTTTTCAATTGTTATGAGTCTACCAATTGAATAGAATTTTATTATAAACAATTGTCTTGTAAATGGAATTTTTAAAGCATTCTGAATGTAAAAATAAAAGAAAAAAGTGCAAGACAATAAGAAACACTACCTGCCAAAAAAAAAAGTGAAGTTTTGTTGAAATTGGTTGAAAAATGTAGGAAATCCGATCCCATATATAAACGAACGAACACACGCACACACACACACACACACACACACACACACACACACAACCAACCTGGGTTTTATAATAAGTATAACTCGATATGAGTTGTCCCCCTTCCATTCTGGCAACAGAATCGTGTTTTATCGTGTTTTGAAATTGACTTCGTGCAAAAACAATTGTGTTTTTCCAATTTTTGGCGCTGTCAGAACCACCGCAAGGTAATTTTACGTAGTCCTGTGAAGTTTTGTTGAAATTGGTTGAAAAATGTAGGAAATCCAATCCAATATATAAATGTACAGACACACACACACACACACACACACACACACACACAATCTGCATTTTATAATAAGTAAGATTATATTTATATTGATTTAATTATTTTATTTATTATTATTTTTTTCTTTAATAATGTTACTAATTTTATATTAAATTAGATTAAGTTTGCTCCTTTTCATTATATAAATAATAAATAATTGATAACCCCTACTCTAAAAGAAAATAACATAAAATTAACAATGCATAATAAATATTTATCTTTTATGTTCATATGGTAATACAGATTATTTTGGTTGCTAGATTTAATATCATGAGAAATATAATAATTTAAAAAAAATGGTTTTTTTTAAAAAAAAAAAACTATATCCCAATAAACAGCCTGTTTATGCAAATCAAATAAATCTCAATGACTCAAAAAGTCCTGATCCAATATTTGTCAAATTTAAACTCGTCCATTTCCACCATTAGTAAGATATTTAATTAAAATTTTCTGCCATTTTTAATGGTTAGTTTTTGAAATTTTGGGTATTTATGAAAACGAACTGACGAAAGTTATTATGCAAATTAAACTAATATTAGCTTAGGACCTATGAAATTTAATAAAAATCTTTTTGTCCATAATATATGTTTAAACACAAAGGAAGTAAAAAGGTAAAAAGAGTAAAAGGAAGGATCTGATAAAACAGAAAATAATAAAGTTATTAAGTGAGAGAATGTCCTCAGTAGAGATATCAAATGAGCTTTGTTGAGATCATCAAACAATAAAGAAGGCTGTTGAAAATATAAGTAAATTGAGAATTCAAAGCAAAGAAAAAGGCTTTAAGAACTTGCTTCCTCAAGATGAACATAAACTAAAGTGAGTTATAATGAAACAACCACTTTTAACCAGTACTCAAATCTTTGAGAAGGCTGAAACTGAGGGAGTCAAGAAGGACAAAAGGTGTAGAATATTTTGTGAATTGGGATTTGTAAAAAATTTCCTAGACAACTCTCACAAAAGCAAATATTTTAAAGCATCAAAATCGGCCAAGAAATACATGAAAATTGACTTTTCTAAAGTAATTTTCACAGATGAATCTCGAGTGACAGTTGATGGACCTAATGGATGGGCCAAAGGATGGATTTTATCCAATTCAGACATGCCTGTGACTACAAGAAGGCAAGAAAGAAGTGGTAATGCATTTGAATTGTTAACCGAACCATTATTGGATCATTCAAAGTTGACGAAGCAGTTAAAATGAACAGTGCTAACAATTCCTTTGCATGGTACAAGTCCCAATCTTGCAGTTTCAAAGTGAAGTGTGTATTTATGCATGACACTACTCCTTCTCATGTATCTAAGCTTACCCATGAATTATTTGAGCATAAAAGATTTACAGGAGAGAAGATAATGGAATGGTTACCATCAAGTCATGATTTGAATTCAAGTAAAAATCTATGGTCAGTTGTGAAGATGAAATTATATGAATTTGGCAAACAATATAACAGCAAAGCAGACTTATGGGAAGCAATTAAAACTACCATGTTGAAAATTGATTCTGCTTAAGTGAAAAATTAATAAAATCAATGGATAATAGATTACTGGCTGTTATTGAGAAGAAGTGTCATTATATTAAAATGTAAAGGATTCAAAGATTTATCCTATGTGTTTGTTATTTGTTCTATTATAGGAGTTGATCGATTTTTGATGATTGTATTACCTTTGTATTGAAGTAAAATGTAATTATTTGGTTTTGCCTAATAACTTCACACAGCAGTTTTTTTTAGAATGCATCAAATAACTTCAATAACACATTGATACTACCTAAAATGTTAACTCAAGCTTTGTTTTGATATCTAAATTGATTGTTTAAAATTCGTCAATTTTTTAAAACTAAATTTGAATTATTGAAGTTTAATTGATTTGCTTAATAACTTCAGGCAGGGTGTATATTGCATAATGAGGTAAGTTAAAAAGTGTTTTTGCTTAATTATGAAAACACGTTTATTTTATACAACAAATGCTTATTTTTCAACATAATTGCCTCCCTTGTCTATGCACTTAACCTAATGTTTTTCCATTAATCACATTGATCAAGCATTATAAAATTTAGCTAATAAGTGTCTCTGGCTTTCATCATCAACAAAATTTTCTCCAGTCCTGGTAAGTGGTCATACTCTCAATAACTTTTCTTGCCTCAAATATCTGTTGAGTCAAAAGCTTGCTCCAGACCACAAATGGAACTTGTATATTAGTAGCATCACTAAAGATGCTAGAAGAATGGTCAATTCCTTTTATTGTTCCTGAAAAATACCTAACACCTACAGCCATGCTCTATCATTACAAGAGTCAAATCATACCAAGAACAGAGTATCGCTGGGCTGGTGATGGCTAGTCCTCATGTTCCAGCCTTGGTAGGGTTCAAAAGTGATTACATAGTCTTGTGATGCAGAATTATTTTCAACCTTGCAACCCTTATCCTACAGATGAAATGTTGCTAGCTGCTCACTAATCTATTGCTATGACTATGGAAAATATTGAGACAAGCTACACTATTTAGTTCCACCAGTTCAGACCTTCACATCTAGAGTCCACTATGCTGTGTAAAAACATCAAATCCTCGTCATTGCTTTTATATTTCTTTGGTAATGAGTAAGTTCCACTCAGACAGCTTCTTCTACAGATCTGTGGAATATACTCCTGAGAGGATGCTTCCCCAATTACTACAATCTTCAAGTCTAGGGTCAACTGATATATACCCTACATATTTTCATAATATGCGACCCTTCTTTCTCCTTCCCCCTTCATTAAAACCATACAGCAATCTCATAAAGTAACCCTCTACCTTGAGTGGCTTTTGTATTGGGTGAGCTAAAGAAAAAAAAAACCTGCTGACATATTGATCCAGCCTCCTTTGTTTTAATGGTTTCTATCATTGTTTTATTTTTGTTTACCAGTTTTGTTCTTATAAAATCACTATTATTTTAGGAACAAGCTAGTACACTCACACGCACAAACAGACACATGCATGTACATGCATACACACACAAACACAACATGTACATATAATTGTATATGCAGACATTGATTTACTCTCATATG